TGGTGGCGCCCGGGACATGGGCGGCCCCCCTTCCGCGGGCTGTTTTTTCACAGGATTCCCGGGAATCGGGTTTTCGCTTGGGTTTTCTTCGAAATGCTGCCCTCGCTGAAGCGCTGGCCTTATTTTCGGGCTACCGCTCGTTCCGAATCGTGCTCCTCCCGCTGCAGCGCTGGCCTCATTTCCGCGCTTCCGGTCGTTCCGAATCGTGCTCCCGCTGCAGCGCTGGGGTCACCATTTCCAGCGCCATGCCACGGCATGGTTTTCGCTTCTTCTAAATAGGCGCCAAGATCTAGAAAGTACCCCCCCCGAAAAAAACATCGAAAGTGATTACACATTCGGTGTCGATCCGTTGATTTTTTGCGCCTCAGAAGCCGCTACGCGTCCTCATTTCTGCGCTTCCGCTTTTTTTTTTTGTTCAAAGTGCTGCTCTCGCTGAAGCGCTGGCCTCATTTTCGGGCTACCGCTCGTTCCGAATCGTGCTCCCGCTGCAGCGCTGACCTCATTTCCGCGCTTCCGCTCGTTCCGAATCGTGATCCCGCTGCAGCGGTGGCGTCATCATTTCCAGCGCCATGCCACGGCATGGTTTCGGTCCTTCCAAATGGCACGCAAATGTAGAAAATGTCCCCCCTCAAAAAACCATCGAAAGTGATTACACATTCAGTGTCGATTCGTTGATTTTCTGAGCCGCAGAAGCCCCCCCACTTTGGGGCTTCGCCACGACATGCAATGTCAGGCTACGCGTCCTCATTTCTTCGGTTTTTTTGTTAGTTTTTGTTTTTGTTTAATGCTGCTCTCGCTGAAGCGCTGGCTTTATTTTCGGGCTACCGCTCGTTCCGAATCGTGCTCCCGCTGCAGCGCTGACCTCATTTCCGTTTCCAGTACCATGCCACGGCATGGGTGTCTTTCCAAATAGGCCCCCAAACCAACAAAAATGGCCTCCCGAAGAACCCATCGGAATTGATTACACATTCGGTGTCGATTCTATGATCTGTTGTGCCGCAGAAGCTCCTCCCCCTCATTTCGGGGCGTCGCCACGCCATGCCATGTCATGCTACGCGTTGATCTTCAACACCACGCTATGCCATGTAATTCTATGCCATGCTGCGACATCCGATTGTGTGAATAGGGAGGAGATCTGCGCCGTGGCAAGGGATGGGAGGGATGGGTAGGACCTCAGACATGACGCGAGTGCATTCAGCTTGGCCTGCCCCCCTCGCTTTCCTCTACAATTACTCAATATGAATACTACTCTCCCTCTTCCCCCGATGGCGGCCTGAAAATAGCCGACCCACCCCCGCGTACTGTTTTTTTACACAGGATTCCCGGGAGTTGGGTTTTCGCCTGCGTTTTTTTTTTTTTTTTTTTTTTTTTTTTTTTCAAAATGCTGCTCTCGCTGAGGCGCCGGCCTCATTTCTGCTCCCGAATCGTTCCGAATCGTGCTCCCGCTGCAGCGTGGGCCTCATTTTCGGATCGGTGTTTGGCCTCCGTCGTTCAGGATGCCGTTCTCGCCCCAGCGCGGGCCTCTTTCTCGCGCGCCCATCCGCCCGCCACCACCGCGCCGCCCCACCACCCACCACCACCACCACCACCACCACCACCACCACCACCACCACCACCACCACCACCACCACCACCACCACCACCACACCACCAGCAGCAGCACCAGCACCACCAGCACCACCACAACCACCACCACCACCACCACCACCACCACCACCACCACCACCACCACCACCACCACCACCACCACAACCACGCACACGCACGCAAGCACGCACGCGCACCACCACCCACTACGCACGCGCGCGCGGAGCCACAGGTCCGCTACGACACGCGTCCGCGGATAGAGAAAATCAGCGCCATGGTAAGGGATGGGAGGGAGGGGTAGGACGTCAGATATGACGCGAGCGCGCCTAGCTTGCCTCCCCTCCCCTCCCTCGTTCCTCCCCCCCTCCCTTCTCCCTCCTTCCCTCCTGCCTCACTCCCTTTTCTCTTTTCTCCCTCCTTCCCTCCTTCCTCTCTCCTTCCTCCCTTCCCATCTTCCCTCCTCCCTCCCACCCTCTCCTTCCCTTCTCCCCTCCTCATTTCGTCCCGTCCCTCCCCTCCCGTTCATTCCCCTGGGGGCCACTACAAACAAGTATTACATACACAAGCAATAAGGAAACTCACACAAAAATGAGGATCCGAACACATATGTTGCAGTGCTCTTGTTGTGGTGATACCCGACCCCCTTCATCTTTCTTTCGCATATGTTCCTTGTTGGTGGTAGCAGCTGTTGTTTTGGTATCAGTGTTGTTTGGTCGCCTCTATTTGTTTTCGGTATATGTTATGCTTGTTATGCAGTGGGCGCTAGTTTTATCGGTCATTGTTTGCTTGAGGTATCTGTTGCTTGTTTCTAGCATTGAGCCAGCTCGCCCAGCTTTCGAACGTTATTTTTATTAGGGTGCCCGTTGTTTTTTGTTTTGAGCCCGGCGTTTCGCCAGAACGTGTAGGAATTCTTGAGCGTGGCGCATCCAACGGAACTCAGATTAGTAATGAGCAAGAAGTGTATGGAGCTCCCAAGGAATTCCGGAGGAATACAGAGAAATCCGTAAGATCTTGTGGTATCCCCAGGCCATCCTCAGGAACCCATTGGACTCCTCAGGACATGCTTGCGAATCCTCAGGAACCCAACAGGAATCTATAGGAATCCTTCGTGGGAATTCTTAGGAATCTAATGCGATTCTTGGAGACTCCCCAATCGTCGACTCTACCCGTCACCTTGGAAAGCCTGGGGGGGAGTCCCGTTTTGAAAAGGAGCCGCCCCCCAGCCGTGTGGCTGTTGCAGAGTGTTACGCACTGGGCAGACGCTGTGATGAGGTCTCCAGCGAGAGCAGAACTCTGAAAACGGGCTACGCTCCATCCTCGTAGCGCCTGGAAGCTTTGAAGACGAGTGTGCGCGGCGCTAAGGGCGAGAGCCACATTTTCAAACCGGGCCGCCCTCCATCCTCGCCACAGTGGGGGGCTCGAAGCTTCGGGAAGCCCCAGACGAAACGCGTGTACCGCCCTGCCGGCGCGTCTGGTGGTGCGACGAGGAGTTCCTGGGAGTAGCGATGGGCGGGAGGCGGGGCTGGACCCAAGCGGTGTTTTGTCGGATTTCGGCTGCGCTTTGTTTTTCCGTTTTGGAGGGAGGTGCAGGAAAACAGGTAGAGCAAAACGAACAACAAGACGAACGCAACACGAGAAACAACGTTTAGGTCCAGCCCTGACGGGAGGGGCGAAGGCGGAACTGGAGGCGGAGGCGGGAATGCACGAGGAGGACGATGGCGACGAGAAGGAGAAGGAGAACTCAGTCTCGGCCAGCTTCCAAGCTCACTGCACGATGGAGGAATCTGCCTTCACGCGCGCCGCCGCGCCCACGTGCAGAGACGAACACGACTTGGTGGAGCAAGTGAGCGGTTGGCACACCGCTGCACTTCCTCCCCGCTCACCTGGAGGCGCTGTGCTGTCCCTTCGTCTGTTGCGAAACGGGCTTGGGCGTCGGATGACCACAGCGACGACGATGACGGCAATGACGGCAATAACGTCTCGGATGACGACCAGGAAAAAGGTGGCGCAGGGAGTGACGATGGCGGTGAGAACGAGGAGGTGATTCGGTTGAGGCAAATACAGGGCCTGAGCTTTGTCCCTTTCAGCAGTGAAAAGCTCTTGCAGACAACCCTGTTGCGTAGCGCGCGCCCCAGACAACTTTCCATGTGAGCCTCTCGTGGGACGTGACCTGTTGGGCAGATTTGCTGCGCGTAGAATGTGCTGATGATGACACCTGTGGCGCATTTCATTCCTTGCAACGCATTTCCACGGTGTGAGTAAACCTGTCGTGCCACATCGAGGTGCAACACCTCTTTCATCGTAGAGGTCGGGAAACGGGATGTGCTGCTTGGAAGAAGGGGCGGGAGAGGAGGAGGAGGAGGAGGAGGAGGAGAAGGAACAGGAGGAGGAGGAGGAAAGCGATGAAAAGAAAGAACAGGGCGATGCAACTGCTGATGATGATGATGCTGCTGCTGATGATGATGATGATGAGGATGATGATGAGGATGATGATGATGATGATGATCATGCTGATGATGCTGATGATGTTGATGATGAGGAGGATGACGATGCTGCTTATGATGATGACGATGATGATGACGATGATGTTGGTGAGGATGAGGATGAGGATGAGGATGAGGATGATACTGATGATGGTGGTGATGGTGATGGTGCTGGTGATGGTGCTGGTGATGGTGATGGTGATGCAGCTGATGATGGTGATGACGATGATGTTGATGATGACGACAATGATGCTGATGTCGCTGCTGATGCTGATCAGGATGAGGCTGCTGATGATAATGACAATGACGATGATGCTGATGATGATGATGGTGGTGGTCGTGTTGATGCTGATGGTGATGAGGATGATGATGGTGATGACGATGATGATGATGATGCTGATGATGATGATGATGATGATGATGATGATGACGATGATGATGATGATGATGATGAGGATGATGATGATGATGATGATTATGCTGATGATGTTGACGATGACGATGACGACGATGATGATGCTGATGATGATGCTGATCATGATCATGATGAAGATGACGATGCCGCTGCTGCTGATGATGGTGGTGGTGATGATGATGATGATGACGAAGATGATGCCGCTGCTGCTGCTGTTTCTGCTTCTGCTGCTGCTGATGATGATGAGGATGATTATCATCGTCGTCATCATCATCATCACCACCATCGTGATACTCATGACGATCATGATGATCATGATGATGGGGAAAGGCATGCGGAGGTGGAGAGTTAAGATAGGGAGGGTGAGGAGGTGGAGCAGCACAAGGAGGGTGAGAGGATAATGGGGGAGGTAGAGAAGGAGGAAGACGTATCGTTCCAGCCCGATGTCGAGCCTCGAGGTTGGAATGGACATTCCGTCGGACCCGGAGAAGAGAAATAGCATCGGCCACTTGAAGGAGATGGGCCGACGTGGTGTTGCTTCCTGCTCCCTCCGTCACAATGCAGCAGTTCGTCCGCTATGACGCACCTTTTAGAACCGTGGCATCGTCACCACAAAGCCAAGCCCTTAGATTTCGTAAGCGCTGCAACGTCCTTCCGCTGGGGTCCTCGGGCTGTCCGCCGTTTTCGCCCTCCCTGTGTCGTTCCTGGGGCTCCGAGACCGTGGAACACAATCTTGGAAGGTGATGGTCTTATTCATTGTTTTGCCGATCGGCGCGGGCCCTTGTACCCCTTCCCCCCCTGTGCTGTGGATCTCGGATGTTGTTGGCGCCTGTTTCGAGCAGGTGGAGTCTCCCCCGTAGGACGCACTGCTGCAAACAGTCGCATGAAGCAGAGGTCTGGAGCGAGACCCCCCCCCCCTCCCCCCCCTTTCCGCCCAATATCGAAGCGCCGAACAAGAAAACGCTCACAAGAAGACGCTGGTCCTGTTGGGAGCCCTGGGGGTCCAGGGCCCGTTTCCCGCAGGGCCCGAAGTTGTGGCTCTCCGCTCGAGGTGCAGAGGGGGACAGGACGAGCGCGACGGGGGAAAGAGAGCACGAGAAGGCGAGGGGGAAACCTGGGGGAAGGGGGAGGGCGAGGGGGGGGGTTGGGGTTCGGTGCCAAATCATGGGAGCCTTGTGTACCCTCGTAGTTCTGTCTTCAGCGCCGACTCGCGTCGATCAGCGTCTGGGAGTCGATGAGATAGCGCCGATTTGGCGTCGATTCGCGTCGATTTGGCGTCGATGAGCGTCGATTGCGAAGGCCTTACGGCCGGTGCCGCCGACCCTGAATGGCGACGACGACGAGGACGACGACGACGACGAGCGCTCTTGGGGGCCTCTTGGGGGTAGTTTTTGGGCCTCTTGGGAAGCTCTTAGGGGCCGCTTGGAAGCCTCGTGGGGGCCTCTTGGGGCTTCCTGGGGGTCTCTTGGAGGGGGCCTGGGACGTCTTGGAGGCTTCTTGGACGGTCTTGGGGCTATCTTGGGCGTTTTCGGCCGATCTTTGGGCGACTCGGGGCCCTCTTGGGCTGTCTCGGGGGCCAACTTGGGCATTCGGACCTCATTTGGAGTGTTTTCGAGGTTTCTAGGCCGCCCGAGGAAAAACGAATCTGCCCCCCGGGACCCCCCCCGGGACCCCCCCCGGGACCCCCCCCGGGACCCGCCCCGGGACCCCCCCCTCCACCCTCCCCGGGACCTCCCCCCCCCCCCCTTGGGGAAGGGATCAAAGGGAAGGGCTTCCCTTCGACTCGATTACGACACTGCTAGATTTTTCTTTCGCTCACGAGCTTGAGAAGGAAGCTGCAGGGAAACGGGACGACGGAAGCGACGACCGACGGAGACGACGACTCGAACAGCCAAGCCCCTCGCACACGCCGACAGGCGTCGATTCGCGTCGATTTGGCGTCGATGAGCGTCGATTTGGCGTCGATCAGCGTCGGCCAACACGATGGCCTGGGAGGCTCCCATGAGTTGCCACAGAAGGGGGTGAGTGACTAGGGAGAGAGGGAAAGAGGGGCGGAGAGACAGTGAGCGAGGGGGATGGGGAGAGGGCGAACGGGGGAGAGGCTACCCACTCTCCTCTTCCCTTTCCCCCTCTCTCAGTCTCTCCTTCTCTCTCTTTCTCTCTCTCTCTCTCTGTCTCTCCCCCTCTACACTTCTCACCTCCACCCCATTCACGCCTTTTTCCTCCCATTGTACTATCCTCTGACCCCCTTCCCCCCCCCCTCGAGCCCGTACGTTACCCTGGAGAGCCCCGAGCCTCCCGAGTGGTGCTTCCCACACGGAAAAGAGAAGAGGATCGATGTGGAAGGTCCTGGATTCTGTGCCCGCCCCTTCTCCTTCCCTCCTCTTTCCCTTCTCCTCCCGTCCTTTCTTTCTCCTTCCACCCGTCCGTCCTCCCTTTCTCCCTCCTCCTCCCTCTCCTCCTCCTCGCCCCTCCTCCTCCTCCTCCTCTTCCTCCTCCTCCTCCTCCTCCTCCTCCTCCTCCACCTCCTCCTCCTCCTCCTCCTCCTCCTCCTCCTCCTCCTCCTCCTCCTCCTCGCGCGGCGCCCCCCATGCACATTCCCGTCTGTGTCCGCTACCAGCGTAGCGGCGAGGCGGGGCGATTGCCTCCTTTGGCCACATCATTTTCCATATGCTGTGGCAGTGTTCGGAACCAGCGCGTTGGCCGTTGCGTGCGGCTGGCCGCGCCTGCCGATATTCCTGGACTGCGGGGAAAGAAGACTTACCCCGCGTGGCACAGGCGCCAGCGGGAGGCACGAACCCAGGCTCGTGTCATTGCCAGATTGTCTGAAGTTACGGTGGTAAAGGCAAGACGGCGACTTAATTAACACCACTCAGTGTCCTCCAAGTCCTGGTTTTGTGCATCGTGTGCTACATCCACCTTCCTGGAGCGGCTGTGCTGCAGAAGTTGTGATGTCCCACGCACAGAGAATGGTTCAGGTGCCGTAGCGGATTTGTTCGAAAGGCAGCCGCGGGTCGAGAACAACCATGCACGTCCTCATTCGAAGGGCCCTCGTGGACGAGCCAGGACCAGAACTGGCAAAGGACCACATCAGGTGACATCGGGTGCCGACGGAGAGGATACGCCTACTTTAGCAAGGCGTCATCAACGTACGAGGTCGCCGTCTGTTTCGTTCGCCGGTTATGAGGAGGATGGATCCAGAGACGACAATCAGAGGCCTTTGAGTAGCATACCAGCCTTTCCCTCGGAGGCACGTTTGCACCAGCATTTCTTGGGGACATAGATATTTCAGCGACGGCCAAGGAACGAAGTGTCTTACTTTCCGAATGCCGACAGCAGTTGAGGGTGCTGGCTGGTACCATCAGGCTCAAAGAGAAGTCAGGGGAGATGACGCACGAAGAACGCTCATGGCACTCAGTAGGTTTGGCGGCCGTCCATCTTGGTCGTTCGCTCAAGGACCAGCTTTCCAGGCAGGAGGCTGCGCTCCGGAGGTCGGAGTCGCGACTTCAGGACATTGAGAACGTGTAAAGCAGCACTTGGGAAGTCATTCGAGCGAATTGCAGGACGAAGTTGATCATGCTGTGGAGTGGGTTCAAAGGCATCGCGAGGCGATGAAACGAACTACGTGCCAGCCCTCAAGCCATGGAAGACTACGTTACTGGGACTGATGCGCCTCCTGGCGATCATGCAGCTCCTTGCTCTCCCAGACTACCGTTGCCAGTCGGACCTCGGCATATTCGGCCGCATGCAGAGGCACCTCAGCAGCAGTCGTTGTCGGACATGGCCACCATGCAGCGACGGCTGGCACGGCTTGCTACGACGTTGACGGCCTACCAGTCTCACGTAGATGCGCGTGCCAATGCCATCGGTGCCCGGGTCATGACGGTCAACAACGAGCACGAGGAGCTGATGTCGGATTTGCGCGGGGGTGCCCCGCATGCCGAGGCTGCAGAGAGGGCGCGTGCCGCGGAGAGCGAGGCTGCGGCGTCGTCTGCAGCTGCGGCTCCCCCACGACTGGCTCGCCAACATCCCGCGACGACGCCGGAACGAAAGACTCGGAGACAACGCGATGCAGAATGAGAGGGGCGTCGAGGGGCGCGCAGTCCATCGCCTGGGCGCGGAGTGCCAGCGCGAGTCGCTATGGCGGCTGGCGACGCTGCAGAGGAGGCGGAGGCTGCAGCATCGCCTGCGGGAGTGGTTGACATCGACGGCATGGTGCTTTGCGGGGGCTACGAGCCGCCGGGGTAGCATCATATGTGGACATGATCGGGCCTGACTCCACCGATCATGGCAATCACTCGCCATCTCAAGGAGTTAAGTCAGGTTGTGTTGGTAAGTCGGGCATCGAGGTTTCACTCCTTCGTCTCTGGGATGAGGTACTTAATGCCGATCGTGGAAAGCATGAGCAGTTTATGTTGGGCTGCTCCAGGGATTTTTAATTTCTCTGTCTGATCGGGATGGCGTTTTATCCGACATCGTTCGCATTGAGATTCTCACTGGTGGTAGTGGCTGTTCTGCCCCCCCTCAGAAGTGAAGCCGCCCTGGGTCTTCTGCGTCTTTAGTGTTGCGGGGGGTGGGCAGTCTCAGTACTTCGTCGATCATGCGGGGGCTTTCTTCGCGAGATGAGTTCTGTGTCTTGCCGTATCAGTTGAGCCTGGTGTCTGAAACGCTCGCTCTTCTGCGGGCAGTGTCTCGGGCGCTGCAGGCTGCTTTCTCGCCCGTGCATCGCCGCTTCTTTCTCGACGACGTCGCGGTCATGCAAGCAGCGCAGGGGCTATGGGACATGCCTCCACTAGCAGGGCTGTCATCGTGTTTGCGCTCGGTATATCGCGTGTTCATGTGCGCGCGCGCTGCTGTATTCAATCGTGTTCATGCGCATGCGCAGCATCCAGTCAACGAGTATGTGGGCGCGCTAGCAGCACTCGCGGGCATGGGTATCATGGAGAATCGAGTCACATGTCCGTGGCCTCCCCTCCTCCAAGACACATTGTCGGCACGGTGGGCGCGGGTGTATCTGATGCCGACTTGCGGGCGGCGCCAATGTCCAGTTCGCAGGGGCGGCGAGCCGAGAAGTGCCGATCTTCTCTTGCCAGCAGCCTCGCCACCAGTGCGCCTATGCGTGGGGCATGTTCCAGAAATCGTCGCGCTCGACAGCCGGCGGGGAGCGGGTGCGTCATCGCGTTTAGAGGTCGAACCAGCTTTTCTAACATGCTTACCATACTGCAACCTAAGAGGATCAAATGTTTCGGCGGGCAGCCTGGCAGCAAAATGCATTGGCAATGTCCCGGGCTTGTTTGATCAATTGTTATTAGCTGAACGCCCCAGGCATTTAGCTGGGTTGTTTTGCCATCGCGTTTGCGCAGTAGCTGGCGCGGCTGAAACGCGCGTTCCTAATCCAAGACGGTGTCGTGTGGGTTCGTTTCTTGCGCTGCATGGTCCGCGCGATGATGGCGGGAGTCATGGTCGCTCGTTATGGTTTCGCCTTCGCAAGGAACTTATCCCGGGCAGGAAGGGC